AGGTATCGAAATTTGGTACCGAACGACGAGACGTTTTTCGATACTCGATGGTATCGAGACAATTCGGTCGGTGCCTAAAAAGTATCGAACTCGATACCCAGCCCTACTAAAATGTATCAGTTTCCAAAAGATATGAAGCAGCACAGCTGTGTTCAACATTAATAATAATCAGAAATGTCACTCACGTCGGGAACAAAGGGTGGCGGCATCATTCCTGCCTCAAGCCTCGTAAAATTTATGTCCTTAAAGAACACGTGACCTTTGATGACCTCTGATCCTCGCCCATATTTGCAGCCCAATCTCTCCTTTGGGTTTTTAGCCAGGAGCTAAATCATAAAACAATTTGAAATATTTATAGTATTCTTTTTAAATAGAAAGTAAGACCTAATCAGACCGAGTGATAGATTAGATCAGATCAGTGAAATCAGAGGAGGATTGTACTGATTCAACAGTGCATAAAATGCAGCCTCACGCTTTTGCAGATGCATTTGGTGTCCTCGTCAAACTTCTTCCCGTAATTCTCGATCATCTCCAGAACTCGTCTTTCCATCTCCTGTCTCGGCAGTCGTTCCTTGTGTCTGCGGAACGGAGGATTTCCGTCCGTCATCTCGTAAATTAGACACCCGAGTCCCCACCAGTCCACACTTACACTATAGTATATGTTTGTAATGACTTCTGGTGCTAAAGATGTGAAAAATAAGTAAAAAATAATTTTGCATTAAGAAAATTAAATCGAATGTAGGACAATTAAGAGTTTTTTTAAAATTATTGTGACATTAATGATAATTAAACATATTTGCTCCTAGTTATCATTACTTTAATGTCATGCAAATCTTGATGATCCTAAAAATAGATTTATTTTTGAAAGAAACAATATTTCTGTTCAGCAAGGTTGCATTAAATTGATTAAAAGTGGCAGTAAAGACATTTATAATGTTTCAAAAGATTCTATTTCAAATAAATGCTGTTCTAATGAACTTTCTATTCATCAAAGAATCCTGAAAAATAAAATGTATCAGTTTCCACAAAAATATCGGGCAGCACAACTGTCTTCAACATTGATAATAATCAGA